CGGTTCCAAGCTTCGCTTAAGATATACGGAGCGTAAATCGCAGAGAAGCTATGTGTAACGCAGATGATATGAATCGTCATGCGTTTGGCCCCCTGGATCCGCCACTGTGTACATGTAAGAGCGGGAAGATAATACCACAGGGTAGGAGTACCTTTACATAGGTCGGGCAGATCACAGAATAATATGATAATATGGAATACACAAGGTAGGGAAAATCACTGCATAGGTTTGGAAAGTTTATCTATACATCATGATAGTGATCATCTAATTACAACGTATAACACAAATACTCATAATGACTTTTTAAATAAACAATTTAAAGGAATTCAAAAGCAGGCGTTTTAATGTAGTGTGTAATATGCACAGCAGCACAGAAACAAGGGTTGACGTTATCCTTGCTGTTAATTTAAGTTGAATGGTCTGGCCCTTTTTATTCACAAAATCAACATTAACGTTAATGTATTCACCATAAGCTTCAACAAAATACACTGTAGCCTCGTTATAACAAACTCTTTGGGGGACATACAATTAGTTTGTTATAGTGAAATGTTCACTATAATGAAGTACATAATACATTGGGTTTGTTGTGAGCGGGAGACACGCTATGTGTTCATTATAACGGTGTTCATTATACTGAGGTTACAGTGTATCCCAATCAACCTGATTAGAATAGTTAGAAATCACGACTGTACATACCTCCTTATCCATGTCGTACATCTCTACGCAACTTAAAAAAAACTATTATTCACACAACTAACAAATATCTGATATAAAAATATGTGAGTGAAAGTATCTGAACCAATTTTCTGCACGCTTCTCCAAAGTTGAAGACTTTTAGAGTGTTATCAATGAATTTCCACGAAAGAGTGTCGAATGCATTATTATATATCTATTGAGCAAAGCGATGCATACCTACCTTTAAGCAAATTATATATGTTGGGATCTTCCTCATTTGTATGCAAATATTGCGTGATTTGGTCAGCACGTGAATTGAATTGAAATGCATGTATTTCGAGTGATATAGTAATTCGTAAGGTTGTATAGCGAAACATTGTGTGCTTAGAAATAAGATCATTTCATAATTGCAGCGATAGCAATGATAATTTAATTAGAAGACACCCTTAAAGTATAGTTGAACTTGACTGAGACCTAGGGATTTTAAGTGTTTGAATCTGAAGAACCAACGATATACCATAGAATAAATATTATGTAACACCAACTGGTGAAAGGAATGGCTCATTTTAAGTTTGATT